TGCTGGACCCCAGCTGTTACTGCACATTGAGGGGCCTTGGAGGGAACGGAAGTAAGAACCACCACGGATTTTAAGATGGGACACTTTCTGAGATGTCACAGCAGCCAGGGAAGATCACCCAGGGTTGTGGGAGCCGACTGGAAGAAAGCCAAGGCCTGCCTGGATTGCAGGGAATGTGATGGGACAGAGGGACACATGTGATGACTGCCTGGGACCCAACCCCACTGGACTCCTGTACAGCACTGATTCATCCGGAGCTCCTTTCCCAGGGCCCCTCTCTTTAGGGGTGCCTGTACTTGATGATCTGCCCTATGCCTGGACCTGCAGATACAAAGAGGACAGTGGCCTCCCGCCGTGGCTGAGACAGGAGCCTGCAGGATGCCTGTGAAGGAGTCTGAAGCCACAGGATGACACTCTCCTGACCACTCCCCTCCAGGACTGATGTTCTTCAAAGGGACGGCCCCTGCTTTATTGGCCTTATTTCCCCAGCCTGGAATGGGCCCTGGATCACAGTTAATAAACATGCGTCGAGTGAGCAAGTGTGTCGAGTGTGTGCTGTGGAGAGTGAGGGCTCACGAGGACCCTGTTGGAGAGGCTGCCCACCTGCTTCCCTGCAGGGCCAGGCTCATTGCCAGACAGCCCTGCCGGCTGAGCAGGCTTCCTGGGGGTGCCAGGGCAACTGCCCACGGGCTCTTCTTACAAGGGCAGCCCCGTCAGGTGTTAAAGATGACCCTCCTTTCTGTTCTCCAGACTAAACATGACCAGATTGGCTTCAATGGCTCCTCATCTTTTGGCTCTCAGCATGCTGGTCGTCCAGTCTGGAGAAGCAACGAAAGTGTCCAGATGGGGTCTGAATGGGCAGAACCGTGGATGCAGGTGGGAAAGTTGGGTGTGCACTCTTTGGCAGTTGGTGTATTGGAGTTGTAGTGGTGGCAGTTGCGGGCATGGCCTCCAGCCCTGTAGGAAGGTACATGTTTCTGGTATTCTCACAGTCTTTTTGTGGGGGGCAGGAGAGGTTTTTGCTATAGGGCATGTGCACTCGTCAGAAAGGTAAAGAAAGAGAGACAGAAAGCGAGAAATCACCCCCCAGAGAAGATGGCCACGCCGCAATCCCTTCTCCTCCATTCTCCTCTCGGGATCCTGAGCACGCACGCACACGCACCCGGCATGAATTTTAAGCCACCAGGTCTGGGATGTGAACCGCGGTCGGCTACATGGGAATCCAGCAACATAGACATTACGCCAACTGCTGGTCCTGGTATTCTCAGTCTTTACACAGACACTGATTTGGGGTAGAACCCCACCTTGTAGCTCTGTTCAGTAGTGTTATAGTTCTCAGCTCTCCTGGAAATTCCCCGAGGCAGCTGGGTTGTGATAGCCCCTCCATAAATGGTAGCTGATATTATTCACTTCATTGTTTGATGATTGAAACCGATAGTCATTCATGTTATTTAATGAGCATGCACTATGTGCCAGAAACTGCTAGGCACCAGAACACAGAAGGGCCCAGGATAGACCTGTCCCTTCTCACCCCCACCCTCAGAGCACCCAGACACTGGGGAGGCTCGCTGATGGAATGATAGACCCTGCTTGAGCTCACTGTGATTAACACCTCCACCGCCAGACGTCATGGGGTACCTCGTGTGTTCAACTCAGAACACCCCCTTCCTGCCCTCAGGTACTTGAATGTGAGAGTTGTTGACAAGGCCCTACTGCAGGAGACCACAAACACGCGGACTTGGAGTGAACTGACTAGGGTGAATCAAGTCCTAGCTCTGCCATAAACCCGCTGTGAAACCCCGGCGAGTCGCTGTCCTCTCCAAGCCTCCGTTATGTTCTCAGTGAAACGGTGTGAGCAGCATAGCTTTCAAAGGCCTGAGAGGCTCACAAGGGCTTGCCAGACCGCACAGCTCCAAGGGACACGATTCACATTTTGGTCTATGCAGCCTCTGGTGGCCCAGGATTAAATGCGAGTGTTTCTGTAGTGTGACCTGGAGTTAACGGTCAGCACGTGTCAGCTACTGTTAAGCATGAGTTAGGGGGAAGCAGCAGTCCGGACAGGTCAGCTGGCTGGAGGTGGTCTGGCCAGGCTTTGTTCTTCAAGGAAGGGCAGGACTCTGAGGAGTGCGGACTATAATAACGGCAAAGGCCGGGAGGAGCGACTCCAGGGCACGTCTGGAAGAAGCGAGACTGGTGAGGAAGGTGCTCAGCAATGCTGAGGCCTAAGTCAGGAGCTTGACCTTTCTCTCTAGGCACAGAGCAGGGGTGGATGAGACCCGTGTGAATCTGTCATTACTGAGCTGCAAAGGGTCCTAGAGAGCGTCTTTGTCCAGCAGCTTGTCTTGCCAAACAAACAGGCCAGGGAGGGAAAGTACTGAGTCTCCACAGTCACACAGCAAGGACCAGGCCGGGGCAGGACCCCCACCTGCATAGCACCCAGCTGAAATGACTCCTCCAGCCCCCTTTGTGGCCCCACAGAAGGAAGTCACATATGTCTATGAGTTTTTTTCTGATTATAAAAGTCCGCATAGGTCATTCTGGAGCATTTTTTAAACTATAGAAATATAAGAAAGAAACTATGCTCACCTTAACCTCACCGTCCTAAGACAATCACTGTACTGTGCTGGATTTCCTCCACGTGTCTCCCCCACAAAGTGATGCGTTATAGTCGTTAGATTGGAATCCTAGTGTGTCTGGTTTCGTGTTGCACCTTTCCCCTGTAAAGTTTTGTTTTATGAGAAAGAGGGACTGTTTTAACGTAGAAGAATCTCTAGAGGCGCTGGCAGGTGGCATGGTAGTTAAGGCACTGGACTCCCACGTGGCTGACTGTGGTTCAAGTCCTGGACCTGGCAGCTTGCTTTCTCACTTTCTCTCTCTCTCTCTCTGGTCTAATTAAAGTAATAATAATAATAAAATTGAATAAAATAATTCTTTTTTAAAATGAATTCTAAAAATAAACATAACCAAAGGGACCAGCAGTTGGCATAATGACTGTGTCACTGGGCTCCCATGTGGTCAACATTGGTTTGAGTCCCGGACCCCAGTGGCTTAAAACTCACACTGGGCACGTGTGTGTGTGTGTGTGTGTGTGTGCCTAAGATCCAGGAGGAGAATGGAGGAGAAGGGATTGTGGTGTGGCCATCCCCCCAGGGGATTTCTCGCTTTCTGTCTCTCTCTTTCTTGCAAGCTCACATGCCCGATAGCAAAACCCTCTCCCCCCCCCAAAAAAAAAAAAGAATTAAAAAAAGAAGAAGAATCTTTAGAAAACATTTTCCCCTAAAAAAAAAAAAAAAGGTGCAAAGCCCCAGTGGCAGTGTTTGGTAGGACATCCTGCAGGGTGGCTGTCGCACATCCACTTCCGGTGTGAGCCAAGGCGGCTGTGGCGGGTCCTCTTCTCATCTGGTCAGGCTGCAGCCTCTGCCCACGGGTAAGACAGGGTTTTGATGAGTCTGCAGTCAGCTTTCCTTCACAAGCACAGGACGCTGCCCCTCCCCCCCATCGAAAGGCATGTCAGGTCAGATGGTGTTTCTCAAACTGCGGCCCAGGGCTTTTTCCCGTGCTATCTCACCCCAGACTCACACACACCTGGTGAGGCAAGGAGAACAAACGCGGTTCTAGCCATCTTGCCAATGAAAAGCTGAGCCTGCCAGCTGTCTGGTGGCTTATTTAAGGCTACACAGCTAATAAGTGGCAAAGCAGGGTGCGCACAGATTAGCTGGCCTCCGATTCAGTGACAGTATTCCCTTTGCGCTTTCTCCCTCTAGTCCTATTGGGCTGTCTGAAAAGCCATGACACATTTTTGCATAGGAAAACATGGAAACATGCCATGACTTTCCTGACGACCTGAGAGATTTTCCTCTGCCAAACTGGATCCCCTTAGCAAGGCATGAACCGAGAGTGTTGGGAGTATCGTAAGTGTGTGGAGGAGCCCCGAGCTCCACCCTGGTAGTCTTGGGTCAGGCCCTGCAGGCTCTCACAGGCTGGCCTGGGCAGCCTGACCGCAGGGCAGCTCCTCCAGGCTGACTAAGATCCAGCACCTCAACTCATGGGGGTTTGGAGTGCGTTGAAGGAGACAGCTGTTTCTTATGGAGATGCCCAGCAGAGGCCCTGTTCTCAAGGGCATTCTTCTTGACCTAACCAGACCATGGAGATGCACTCCCTGGCCAGAGTTCCAGAGTCTCAGCTCTTCCTAGTTGGAAGAAGGGCTTTTTTTTTTTTTTTCACAGAGAGGCTGTAGGGCCCTTGAGGCTGACTCGAACCAAGGCACAAGGACTTGGGGCATCCTCCGGACGGCTCTCCAGTGCATTCATTTCTTACCAGTGCTCTAAGTTACCGTGAAATTAGTTGACAGCAATTGGTTATCTTTAGTTCTGGAGACCAGAAGGTCAGAAGTCCAAAAATGGTCTCACTGGACCACACTGCAGGTGTCAG